TATGTGCGTATATTGATGTTTGGTTCATTAGTAACTTTTAAGCAACTGTGTGGGGAAACAGTTTTGAGGTGAGAGTGAGAAACTAAGAATTTGTAAATTTAAGATATAATCCCATATAAACCCATATATTATACCGTAGCCTATTTATTTACACAAAAAATGCTGAAAGTAATCTGGAAGTCACTATCACTGAGTTTGGATTACATTACCGATTACAATTTTGATGAGGTATCCGGTGACTGGAATACAAGTTTATTGACCTACCCGACCTTGTAAAGGATGGAGTCGGATTGACTAGCTGTGGTTAAAATCCCACAGAGCCATGAGAATATGGAACACACACACACATGCGCACACACGCAGATTCTGGATAAATCACGAGACAGACTCTCAAAGATTAATATCAAAAGCTGTTTTAGTTCTGACTGATTTGATGTATGATATTTGGATTTAACATTTCAGATGGGAATGTCCTTTTCAAATTTGAGTTTGAATCCATGGAAATCAAATTAGTTTCTACTCAAAGTGCAGCTGCTATTGCCAGTTTATAAACCTGAACCTTGATCACAGACAACGATCCTGTCCTGGGAAAAGACATCTACATCTGTTAAATATGTGTATCTTAATTACTTTTAACAGTAACAGTAAAAGTTGAATATATCCTTGGACAATTGTTTGCTGTTTTTGAACCAAGAGCAACACAGAGCATTATGTGTTGGTGAAGATGTGTATTCTGAGTGGCATGAGGAGAGAGGAGGAGAGCGCCGGAAAAGCAGGCAAGGGGAAAGGCCTCTTCGGTGCAGACGTGGCCTTTTGGGTGAAATACAAAAGTCCATTCCCAAACCGTTTCTTTTGTGCTCCCTCCCAAACTGTAACAAGAGCGGGGAAACTATAGCAACTAGTAACTTTACTTCAAACATTAAAGTAACTTTAAAGTTAGTGTTTTAACTTTCTGTCTATTTTACTCCTTTTGGTTCAAATATCAAATATGTGCCTTCGGGGGTAAAGCTTTTGTAAGTTTTACATTCAGCAGTGCTACTGTGTGTTTACACTGTCAGAGGAGCACTTGGAACTTTTTTCTTCCTGTACTTCAATAACACAAATTACAAATGCTGCACCACATTAGGACATCATTTTGCTTTGCATTTGGGGGTGTGTCTGTGTGTGAGAGCATGGGTGCGTATGTGTGAACATACCGATTTATGTGTCTGGCAGTTATCGCTTGTTAACCTATTTCCGTACCTGCTTGTAACCTATCTATGCGGGTGACAGTCCATTACCGGAGACCAGGTAGCGTGTGAACACTCAGATCTCGTCTCCTTCCAAGTGTCATTCATCCCTCCTTTCTCACTTTCCAACAGCAGCTCTGTTTTCACTCTTTGTCCTTGGATGTCCCTCATTTCCTATGGTCGTAATCTGGGCCATACATCCATTGATAGTTTAGGGTTCCTGTTGTCAGGTTGGAGGAAATGCAAATCAGTTTTACCACAGCAGTTGGAAAACAATTTGCAGATCAAGAGTTGTCAAATAACACTCATCAGCTCTCTTCAATGGCATTCTGAGAGTCTCAAATGTTGTGTGTTAGTTTCATTGTTCCCAACTCTGCATAATAACACAGCAGTTGTGATATGACAGGACAAAATTCAGCTCTAAAGTTGCCTGTGAGTGCAACTTTATCTGCATTGCTAATGAGACATTTCTTGCAAATCAAAAGTTGTTATGATAGCTTTATTAAAAAAAAAACGCCCTGCAAGTCTACTCTATTGCTTGATTTTCATCTTCTGCATGAACACGGTCAAACTTGTCCCCATGTCTGATATCTCAATAATGCAGTCACATTTACAGTATTTTCTGCATCTAAGTTTAGATTTTTGTTTATGTCTATGTTTATGCTACACATGTTATTCAGCCACATGTGCAGGAATTCACTGTAACAGCAAGTCACTAAAGAAAATGCATCTAAACCTGATTGCTTAGCTTTTGAAATGTGAATTCTGCATAATCATTTATTATATTCCTCTATTAAAATAGCTTCCTGAAATGAAGCCCTCCACATTATGTTAATATATTATACTATGACCCTTTAATCAGTTGTGTGACATATTGTAGATTTGCCCACGAACGAGAGGCATGTCCTCATCATGAAGTAGCAACTACACTTTAAATCTAAAAATAGAACTTGGCAAGTTGATTGATTATTATGAGCAATATATAAAAGTTAACTATTAATTCTGAATAATTTGCAACAAACAGTTAGTCTCATCCCCTTAGTGTTGTGTCTTTTGCATATCAGCAACAGAAATCTCTAATAATCTGCGGATTACTATTCCTTGAATATTGTGACAGAAACTTTGCCCACCAGCTACCTCATATGAATATGCATGACACATATTTTTTCGTTGTAAATTGGTATGAAGAAATTAGACTCACTTCTTACACCATAAAGAGTCTCGTGCTTTTTCACATTGCATCACACTTGCGGGAAACGAACGCTTATTTTAGGATCTCATTGGTGACTGTGAGATATTTTTTCACACAAAAAATAAAATGGGGAAATGATTTCTAAAATGATTTCATTTTTTATTTTTTTTTGCTTCTAGTATTTACTGAACCCATATGTTAAGCTTTGAGGAGCCTTCTCGGCCTGAGACGAGGTGTTGAGGTGAATCCAGAGAGAAGGGTATCAGGTGATGCTAGCTAGCATTAATAGCTTCCAGGCTCCTCCATGTTAACCAGACACTGGCATCCTGTTGTTGTCTGGAAGACTTCCAGTGATACAGTTGCTCCACTTGCCTTGTTGCTGTGACCTCTATATTTGTGTGTGTGTGTGCGTGTGCGTGTGTGTGCGTGTGTGTATGTGTATGTGTGGCACTAACATTACAGTGAAAGCAGAGACAGGTTAATGAAAGTAGTGACGAAATCTTATATAACGAGGGATTTTCTTCCCTGAAGGGGGACACCGATGGAGATAAGGAGAAAATACAAGAACGCAAACTTCTCTCTCTCTCCCTCTGTCTGTCTCTCATATGCACACACACCTGCATGCACACAAACACACACCCTTCTATAAACACACCGGAGAACATAAAAGATGAGAAGACATGATTTAAAATCTCAGAATATATTGCATCCACATAACAGTAAATCATATACTGAAATGCTATCATACATCCAAACACAAATACAGTGTCATGGTCTTGTTGTAATAAACCCTCATCTGCTGTAGCCATGACGACACAGGTCAGCTCAGGCCACTCTACTTCTGAATCATTGCACAACTGTGGCTTCACAGACGAGAGACTGACGATATCATAAAAACTGACATACTGTATAATCACTGTAATAATCATTATCCTCTTGAAGCTGGTTGTCAAACACAGGAAACACATACAAATGCACATAATCCAATGCTCAACCAGTTTGAGATTATATTGTATTCCTGGAGTCTGGATTTACTTTCCAAGATTTTTATATTCAGAAAAAACCTAATGAAAGAAATACTCACATTGCACTGTTGCAGCATAATTTTTCCGTTATGCCTACAAAATAAGACGGATCATGGGACGTTTTCGTCTAATGTCTCCTGGCCCTGCAACAGTTCCCTTTATCCCCTGTATAAAGCAATTATCTTTGGCTTCTTCTCCCTCTTTTTCACTTAATGTGTTTTTTCATAATTTTCTAATAATGGTGTAACTGAAAGTTTTACTTGCTCAATAAAATATCCACTGATGGATGGTAATGATGATGTTAATAGCATGAAATCCAAATTCTGAAGGATAGAATCTGCCTCACAAAGTTTGGCTATGTTAGGTTGTATTTCAGGTCAGAATGCATTTTTTTTTCTTAGTTTGACAGAATTTTGGAAAAGAACTCATACACACAAACAAACGCTAGAATGGAGAAAGGTTTTAACTTCTACATTTTCAACCAAACTGAAATCAAAAATACGTATTTATCCATGATGAACATAGGTGTTACAGTAAGATTATGTATGGCAAATTCAACAGTATGACAAATACATAATTTAAGGCACTCCATTATAATACATAGCATGGAGTCAGTTAGACTGCCATTAATAGTGGAGGATTTTTACCCATGCTACTTATCAGAGAGAATGAATAGATACAACAGAACCGTGATACATTTTTGAACTAATAAACACAGCAGGGCTATAATCTAGACACAATACACAAGTTACACATTCAGACATTTATAGGAAAATTGTGTTTGGGTTTTTTTTTGTGTTTTTTTTTAAAGCCTTTTTAACAACCTTGGTCTCATTTGTCTGTATGGTTGGCCAACATCCCTATCAGTTATTATTTTGCACAGTTCATCCGCAGACAGCAGCAGCATCTACTGGGCGCCACAGACCATATGCCTCAAGCAGCTGTTTTGAAGAAGATGAGAGATAAAAGGCATTACCCAAATTGTCCGATATAAATCTCAGTTACAGTTTCGCCTTGGTTAGAAATTGTGGGCTGCACAGACACAATGCTCACCTTTCCATAACCAATAACTCATCATAAAAATCTAATGATTTGTCAGCTTTTCCAGCAGCAGAAAGGTCAGTCCTATAAGATGAACCAAGAAGTAGCTCAGCAATGCAGTTGACACTTATAATCATATCAACATTTTGGCTTGCAGGATTTAACTTTTATATTGGCCAAAATCTCAATCTCATTTTATAAGCATTAGGATTATTGGCCAAGACAATAAAAATAAGACCAAGATTATAAAAATACAACTTTAAACATACATAGTGCTGAATTATGACAATGATGGATTTGTTCTGCTTCTATGCAACTAAAAGAAGAGTCCTAACACAAAGTGAATTTGAAATATGTCGACATACAATCCTGAACATGACTATGGATGGAATTCTTCCGCTTATTTTCAACGTGTCGTTTCCATAATAGACACTAAAGAGGTAAGTACGGTATGTCCTGTATATCATTATAAAACATATTTAGTATCAGTAGGTACAAACAAAATGTCTCATTTAACCTTTTTGTTTTTTTAAAGGAAATCATAACAGTTAATTTCCTCTTTATTCTCTTCTTTAATATTTCTCCCCTGCTTTGTGGCAAAGTCTCTCCTCCTCCCCTCCTCCCCTCCTCCTTCGACAGTTATATCCCTTTGTCACTCTGCCAGATGCCATTGGCTATATTGAGTGAGGTGCTGCTACCCTGTTTGGTACTTGTCTCAGCCTTCATGGCTTCCTCAAGCGCATCTGCCAAAGGCAACTTGTCCTCTGCTTCTGTCTCTCTGTGGTAGAAGTAGTTGAAGTTGGAAACAATAACAGGAACAGGCAAAGCAATGGTCAGCACACCCGCGATGGCACACAAGGTGCCCACCATCTTACCCCCCATGGTAATGGGACACATGTCCCCGTAGCCTACAGTGGTCATGGTAACCACAGCCCACCAGAAGCCATCGGGTATGCTGACAAACTGTGTGTTAGGCTCATCTACCTCAGCAAAGTAGATAGCACTGGAGAAGAGGATGACTCCAATGAAGAGGAAGAAGATGAGCAAGCCAAGCTCACGCATACTGGCCTTCAAAGTCTGACCCAGGATCTGCAGCCCCTTGGAGTGACGGGAGAGTTTGAATATACGAAACACCCTGACAAGGCGGATGATACGAAGAATGGCCAAAGACATGTTCTGTCCTGAGCTCTCTTCTGGCGTTGTGACCAATTCTGTAACCACAGTAACAAAATAGGGGATGATGGATATAATGTCAATGATGTTCATGAGGTTGTGGAAAAATTCCTTTTTGCTAGGACAGACCAAAAATCGCACACACAGCTCAAAGAAGAACCAAGCGATGCAGGCAGTCTCAATGATGAAGAAGGGATCGGAGAAAGTTGTGGGCTTCGCACTGGGTGGAGCCACAGAGGAGTAACCACTGGATTGGTTGAAAGATTGTACAGGTGTGGGCACAACTGGGTCAGAGTCATCTCTGAATTCTGGAAGAGTTTCCATGCAGAAAATAATGATGGATATGACAATAACAAAAACAGACACTAGTGCTACACCCCTCGCTGCATTGGAGCTCTCCGGGTACTCAAACAGCAGCCAGAATTGTCTATACACATCATTAGCAGGTAGAGGGATCTCAACGTCTTTTATGAATCCTTCATCTTCTCTGAACTGCTCCATGGCCTCGTTTCCAAGCTCATAGAACAAAATTTCATCTGCAAACACATCAAGGGGAACATTAGCTGGTCGTCTGACCTTACCCCCTGACTGGTAGTAATACAATATCCCGTCAAAACTGGGTCGGTTCCGATCAAAGAAGTATTCATTCCTCATTGGATCAAAGTAGTCCATCCTCTTCAAAGGGTCTCCTAGCAGTGTGTCAGGAAACTGGTCCAAGGTTTTGAGCTGCGTCTCAAATCGAAGACCAGCAATGTTGATGATGACTTTCTGGTCTCCATCATCCAGCCCTCGTTTATCTACAAACAGATCCTCGCAGCACTCCTTAGCGAGCCGACTGAAGATTGTCTCACTCTCCTTAGTGCCCTCACTGCTCAGTAGCAATTTCCAGTTGGAGATCATGCTGGCGCAGCTACTGCGCCCCCGCCTGGTTGGAGTTGGCATCATTGGGGACTGGGGTACTCCCAGAGTCTGTGTCTGTGGAATGGGTGAAGATGAAGTTGATTCCCAAATGCAAGAGGGCACAGGACTATGGTGGGAAGGCGAAGAGGAAAGCTGAGGGGCTCGCAGATGGTAGTTGCTGCCTGGGCTGTTGTGCTCTGGGGGCAGGTCCACCGTGAGAGCTGTGGTCTCATCAGCATAGGTGTCCACCTCATCCCCAAGGCTGACATCAAGGTCATCCAGGCTCTCAAAGTCTACCAGGGCCACCTCCATGGCTGCAGTTCAGCCAGTGCAAAGCCTTGGGACCCCAGGATAAGACAATCACACACACACAGATAGACAGACAGGAGGCTCAGTCACCAGATTTGGCAGCAGAGTACCAGTCTTCAGCAGCTCTTACAGTAACGGGACAAACTGACTGCCCCCTCTGTTCTTTTTTCACCTGTAGAGCGAGAGACAAAGAGAGAAAGATAGTCAGTGTGATTCTGTCAATGGTTAAGGGTTTGTTTTGTGTTAATTGTCATCAGGTGACAAGAATATGACGTCTGAAACCACATGTTCTATCATGACTCGTTGTTTCTTAGATACCCATCCCTCTGGCAACCAGCAACTGAAAGGCGAGTGAGAGAGAGAGGGAGAAGCAGAAATGAGGGCAGAAAGAGGAGGAACAGGGTGAGGCAGCCAGAATATGGGAAGAAAGAAAAAAAGAGATTATACAGTATCAGTGGCAGGAGATGATTTGAAAGATGTAGTAGTAAAGTTCTTTCCACAGTCTGTTATTGAAGAGGCACTGCAGTGAGTCATGCAATTGAGAAAGGAAAACAACAAACGTTAAACAAAAGGAACAGCTTAGCATTTGGATGTAAGTGCAGCTAATGGAGGGCTTATTTGTTAAATGCTAAAATCACTGTTCAAGTCACTGTGTCCAGTTGTTGGCATAAACTTATGATTTTTTACACCCAAATTATGAAACACAACCTCTTCCACCTTGTTATCTATTGTACATACACAGTATCAATTATGAACTAGTTCATACATTCACTGACCTGCATGTGCACACATTATTTCTCTTTCTCGCCCATATTACACCCTGTAGTGACCCCGATGCAGGCTGTAGGAGGAGCAGACAGGACAGGGTAACTGGGGCTGCGCATACATTAGTGCATAATTAACTGACTGCGTCGTGATAGCACGGGTCTAACTTCCTCCAGACACCAGGCCTCACTTTTAAACTGTACTGTGCCCCTCAATTTCCTCTAGCCGTAAAGGAAAACCATGATGTTTGTCTTTGCATTTAAATTTACACAAACTTTTCATTAGCATGAAGATCATTCAGTAGTTAGTAAACCGATCCATGAGGTGTGTGTGTATGTGTGCGTGCGTGCTTTCGTCTGAGTGTGCATCTGTGTGCAGTGCAGTGTACTTATACTGTACATGTGTGCATGTGTGTGTGTGTGACCGAGTGGTGACGCCCGCAGATGTTTAATTAAAGACTCCAGAGATGAGTCACCACCTAAAACCAACGCCAGTGATACCAATCCTGCTGGGGGAGAGAGGGAGAGAGAGAGAGAAAGAGAAAGAGGGAGAGGGAATAAGAAGGATGACATGAAAATTGTTGGGGTGACGGATGTGGGTGGGAGGACTGGGTGGGATGAGGACAGAATGCAAAAGAAGGAAAGTGACAGAGAGAGAGAATGGGACTTGATAGGTGGGTGGATGGACAGACAGGATGATGGGACAGCAGCTCTGACAAGGAAAGAGGGGAAGGAACAGATGATGATGAGGGGGTAAGAGAAACAAAAACTATATCGATTGTGCGCACAGGAAGAAGGTTCATTTGTAACTGGTAAATATGTCTGATGTGAAAAAGTTGCCAACAAAAATCAATGAGACAGCTTCAAGGTCAACTCTAATGTAGGATTGCAACATGTAGCAATGATAAATGATTGATCAAATCAAACCCCTTCACTCCTCTCCTCTTTAACCACATGACTGAAATGACGTAACGTGAACCTCTGAGCAACCAGAACTTTCTCATGATCTTAAAATAGTCCACTGGACAAAAACACTAGATCAATACCTGAAAGTTAGCCAATGACATTGCTCTGCTTGACCAATTCCTAATGTTTTTTCAATAATCCAAGAAGCCATCATTATTTGATTTTGCTTAATGTGACAGAAACTGCTTACATGTCTGTCTCTAAAAGTAATTGAAAGACGCATGACTGCTCCGACTCTCCGGAAAGACTAATTGTTTCCAGAACAGATCAAGATGGTTGCACTGATTCAGCTATTTACCTTTAATTTATTATTTACCTTACAGTGGAGCTGGAGATCTGTTGAGTTATATGTTTAGATTAAGATCCTGCATCCTCTTAAAAAGAGAATTAAATCTAATTTAAGGCATGTGAAGAGTGGTCTCAGGTTTAGGAACTTAATTTCAAAAGCCGCAATCCAAAATATTCTCTATTTCTGTTAAAGAAAGCAACTAGGTAATGGTAATGGGAACTACAGCATGAACTGCCCAGACAGGCTCACAGACAGAGCTATAAAAGGCAACACACACCTTACCTTACTTAGCAAGAAGTCTACAGATCATGTGTGTACAATATGCTGTAAAAAGCAAAAACTGGAGAGGGAGAAAACGGTCCTCCACAAGCTGTGCCACTGCTGCAGCTTTCGGGATCAGAATGACTATCACAGACCACACTGGGTAACCTTATGCTGGAGTAGAAACTAGAGCTGTGGCAAAGGCCACATGCACACACACGAACACATTCAAACAGGCATGCACACAACTCGTCGAAAGCATAGAAAAAAAGTTGGAAAGTATCTAATACTAAAGACTGTTCATTTTGTATACAAGTGTGTGTGTGTGTATGTTGTTCCAGGTGTGCCATAAGCTGTCTCACAGTGATATGGGTGATGTGGTCCAGGCCTTCTTGACTGGAATGGTCTGATTAGAGCCTCAGATCTCTCCATGCTTAACTCACTCACCCTGCAAACACACACACACACACACACACACACACACACACACGCACACACACAGAGGCCACATCCATATCTGATTTATTTACAGTATCACAATAAATAATTAATGTTTAACAACTCCATTAACATGTCCAACATGGCAGAGAAAGAAAGAACAATGAGAGAGTGAACCAAAGCTCCCTTCCTCACCCCGCGCAGCTTTTTCCAACTCAGCAGAGCTCCCATATTATCACCTCCTTTAACTCTTTAACTGTAAGCTCTGTCTAAGCTGCACACCTTGAGAACATGTATTTTTAATGTCGTCTGGTCTAAATTACAAATTACTAAAAAAAGTGGAAATTTGATCTCTTAAGGGGCCCTCAGGTGTCTTTTGGCAACCTCTGAGATTATAAATGATCTTATGTCAGATTCCACGGAGTGACACTCAGGCATACCCGTCCATACCTCCCTGTCCTCACACTGTAAAACATATTTATACACACAGGCATGTCAGGAAGCTGTCACTCCGCTCTCATAATTCCACGAGTATGTGCGAACAGCTACTGTGGAGGGTCTTGTCAACGCTGTTTAGTCAACATGTCTTGTTCTATTTCCCTTAATATCTGTGTAATGTGATAGGGATTAAATCCTGTTTTATGGCCTTCAATTTGACTTGTGACCGAATTAAAAGTACATATGCAGGAATAATAAAGAAGGCCCTCTGGAAACATGACTTTTCATCGTTTTTATTACAGACCTTTGAACAGTACCGTATATCTACACATGTTAACAGATGACAGCAAATGTGCTGCATATTTGCAAACGATCAAGCAAACAAAAGAAAAGAAAAATTAAACTAAAAACAAAGTAGTCAATGTAGGGATTAAATAAACACATGATGAACTTTTTCATGAATTACAGGATACATATTGGCAAAAATATATATATGTTTGTTTTAATCTGGATTGCAGATGTAGTAGATAAAGTGGATGGATGCTTAAACACCAAAACACACATTCTCCTGACTGTAATAAGATTAAAACTGATATTCATTTTACCATTCTAATAAAATGTTGTCTACATCCTGGAATTCAAGACTTATTTCCATGTAATTAATGACAACATTTAAAAAAAAAAAAAAAAAAAAAAGCCTCTGTGCTAAAGGTAGGGATTAAGATGGGTTAACGCATTAGTGGGTGAAGAGTTGATTTGGGGGTTAACAGGGCATAAAATCAAAGCAATGACAAAAAATTAACTGAATACATAATAAACTGTGTGTTTAACTCCACGTATATATCATATTGTGTAATGCATTCATATATGCATGGAAAAAGACACCAGCAGCTGTGTAGTGCAGCCGTGAGGACGAACTGCTTCTGAGTGTGACCTTGACTCGTGGTAGGACAGCGTAAAACAGAGGTGTCATATGGGGCCCACGACCAACCCATGGCGCTCTGACTATTCTTGCCGTGCTATTAATACACAGGAGTATTAGTAGTACACAAGTATCTCTACATGTGATGCTCTGATTCGTACAAACACAGGAGAGCACGGCGCATATACACTGGGGAGAAAGAAAAAAAAAAAAACAACTGCCTGTGTGGGGCAACCTGGGAAAATGCATCAGAAATATGGCATTACATGCTGATCTGAGCAACTGTACATTTGAGTAAGCTAACCCCTGTGACTTCAGCACATGTGTGTAGACATGAACAGATGTTCAGGCACATAGAGCTTAACTACAAGCCTGTGCTTTTCTAGAGATGCATGTAGATGTCAAAACATTGTATTCCTATATAAACCAATGCAACGATACTGTCAACACCGCCTCAACAAATGCGTCAGACACATGCCGTGTTTTCAGCATAACAGTATGAACTGCTTTAGACAGAAGGATTGCAAACAGCAGCACACTCACTCTCTCCAACTGAGCTGAATTACGTCACATTGATGCCTTAGATGTGTCTATTTTGTTTGCTGCCCGGTGAGGACCAAGGCTGCTGACTTCCAGTCTTTTAAGGCATGAAGTTATTTAAAGGTACAGAGATCAATCTTGAGACAAATACAGAGTATTACAGCCATTATGTCGCCCAAACCTTCATCTCTGACTTCAGCTCAAAGATTTTTATTTTTTGTTCTCTGTCTTTGTGAGTGTGTGACTGTGTGTGCGTGTGTGTTCTAAGTAATTCCACTCAGGCTTGAGGCGTCATTAAAGTTTCAAGTGATCTTTTGCTTGCAGCTCATCCTGGTGAATATTACACATTTTCATCTAAGTGGTCCGCAGGGCTGCTTTTGTCACA